AGGGATGTTAGGAAGTATTTCTTCAGCCACAGAGTAGTCAGGAAGTGGAATAGTTTGGGAAGAGATGTAGTGGAGGCAGGATCCATACATAGCTTTAAGCAGAGGTACGATAAAGCTCATGGTTCAGGGAGAGTGACCTAGTGGCGACCAGTGAAGAGGCGGGGCCAGGAGCTTGGACTCGACCCCTGCAACCTCAACTAGGTGAGTACAACTAGGTGAGTACACACACACACACACACACACACACACACACACACATACCAAATAACTGGTCCAGCATATGGGCACCTGACAAACCACTGAATAGCGTTTCGATACATTAGTAACGAATCGTTTGCAACAAGACTAGTCCCGGAGATCAGGATCATGTCCGACGAGGAGAGGTTAAGAGAAATCGATCTGACGACACTGGAGGACAGGAGAGGTAGAGAGGATATTATAACGACATATAAAATACTGAGAAGAATCGATAAGGTGGATAGAGACAGGATGTTCCAGAGATGGGACACAGCAACAAGGGGTCACAGTTGAAAGTTGAAGATTCAGGTGACCCACAGAGATGTCAGGAAGTATTTTTTCAGTCACAGAGTTGTCAGGAAGTGGAAACGTTTGGGAAGTGATATAATGGAGGCAGGATCCATACATAGCTTTAAGAAGAGGTATGATAAAGCTCACGGAGCAAGAAGTGACCTAGCACCGACCAGTGAAGAGGTGGGGGCCAGGAACTGTGAATCAACCCCTGGCACTACAACTAGGTGAGTATTGGGGTATTCCATCAAATGCTGGACACGATACACACAATCGAGGAGAAGGTGAAGAGGCTACTAAGCGAACTAGATTCCTCAAAGTTGATGGGTCCAGATAACATCTTTCCGTGAATGCTGAGAGAGGAAGCAGAGGCGCACAGTGTAACAATGACAACAATCTTAAACACACCTATCGAAAGAGGGCGACTGCGTGAGGTATGGGAGACAGCAAATCTAGTCCCAAATTTAAAAAAAAGAAGACAGACATGGAGAATTAAACTAAAGATGAGTATCACTGACATGCATAGTATGTAAAGTCATGGAGAGATTATCAGAAGAGTGGTGGAGCACCTGAAAAAGGAATGAGCTAATCTGCGACAAACAGCACGGATTCAGTGTCGGGAAATTCTGTGTTACAAACCTTTTGGAGTTCTATAACAAGGTGACAGCAGTAAGACAAGAGAGAGAAGGGTGTTTAGATTGAAATATCTTGGACTGTAAAAAGGCGAGATTCCACAGGGGTCAGTCCTAGGACCGGTGCTGTTTCTGGTTTGTGAACGACATGACAGAAGGGAGGAATAGTCCTTGTTTGAAGACGATGTGAAGTTAATGAGGAGAATTCAGTCGGAGGAGGATCACGCAGGACTACAAAGGGATCTGGACAGGCTATAGGTCTGGTCCAGCAACTGGCTCCTGGAGTTCAACCCCGCCAAGCGCAAAGTCATAAAGAACGGGGAAGGGCAAAGAAGGCAGTAGACAGAATACAGCCTAGGGAGCCAAAGACTACAAACCTCACTCAAGGAAAAGGATTTTGGGGTGAGTACAATACCGAATATATCTCCAGAGGCACACATCAACCAAACGACTGCTGCAGTATGTGGGCGACTAGCAAACCTAATAACAGCTTTCCGATATCTCAGTAAGGAGTCGTTCAGGATTCTGTGCACCCGGTACGTCAGGTCTATATTAGAGTATGCCCACACCTGGGCAAACACGTCAGAAAATTATAGAAAGTGCAAAGGTTTGCAACGAGACTAGTCTCGGAGCTAAGGGGCATGTCGTATGACGAGAGGTTAAGGGAAATTGACCTTACGACACTGAAGGACAGGAGAGATAGGAAGGACATGATAACTACATATAAAATACTGAGAGGAATCGACAAGATGGACAGAGATAAGATGTTCCAGAGATGGAACACAGAGATAAGGGGTCACAGTTGGAAGCTGAAGATTCAGATGAGTCACAGAGATGTTAGGAAGTATTCAGAGTTGTCGGGAAGTGGAACAGTCTGGAAAGTGAAGTGGTGGAGGCAGGATCCATACATAGCTTTAAGAAGAGGTATGGCAAAGCTCAAAGACCAGGGAGTAAGTGGCCCAGTAGCGACCAATGAAGAGGCGGGGGCAGGAGCTTTGAATCGACCCTTTAAACCACAATTAGGGGAGTATACACATACACACACGAACAACCATAAACACACACATACACACATATATACACAAACATACATACACCCTAATCCTCACAAAAACATTGACGCGTGAGCACACAGACATACAAACAAGCGTACAAATACACACACACATACACACACTCCCACTACCTACATTTACATCAGTAAAGCCTAATTGGGATGAATAAATAGCAGGAAAATCGAGAGCAAAAACTTTTCCTGGAAGATTTCACGTAATTTCCTGGGAAGAAGCAACAGCATCTGGCAGGGATGGATTGTTCATACGACAGCTGCCAGACGTAAAGTAACAGACAGGAGAGGTAAAGGAAACCTTCGAAGCCTCCGTGGAAAAACACTCATTATTCCTAGCTGAGGAACAGCAGGAGAATATTTTTTGAACAAAGATAAATCATAATGTACGTCTGTCAGTACATGATCAGACGGGACTCGAACTGTAGCCCTGATAGGTAACAGGTTCATCACTATATCACTGTGATACCAAGTTCAGAATATGAAGGGTTGAAAGACAACACTTATGAAATGTCTTTGTTAAACGTCACCACCTATAACCCGACTGCCTTTACTCACAGCCCTAAAAGCTATCAGAGTACATATATTCTCACACCACCGAAAACCATATACTCTATGACGTCAGGATAACTCATAATGAATGATTAACAATGACTAAACAGAAGAGTGGATGGTGACTTGAACTGTTGGCGTGGTTTTTCTTCAGTTCATAGAGGTGTATGAGGAAAAGATGTACCGATATGTAACGGAAGTACTGCCTATGAAACCTTCCTATTATATATATATATATATATATATATATATATATATATATATATATATATATATATATATATATATATATATATATATATATATATATATAATATATATATATATATGTCGTGCCGAATAGGCAGAACTTGCCATCTTGGCTTAAATAGCAACGCTCATCTTGCCATATAGGACAAGTGAAAATTTGTGTATGCAATAATTTCGCCAAAATCATTCTGAACCTAACGAAAAAAATATATTTCACTGTGTTTGTTTAGTATTAAATTACTGTAAACAAATCTAAAATATATTTAGTTGGGTTAGGTTAAAATAAATTGCTCTTGTTGCAATAAGGTTAGGTAAGTTTTCTAAGATTCTTTTGGTGCAAAATTAAAAATGTTTACATTATTTTGGCCCGCCTCATGGTGAGAGAAAACGCATGACGCTTTAGTGGTCTAAAGCATCATGCGTTTTCTCTCATCATGAGGCGGGCCAAACAGCATGGATTCGACTCCTTGGCTAGTGCAGTGTTATATATATATATATATATATATATATATATATATATATATATATATATATATATATATAATATATATATATATATATATATATATATATATATATATATATATATATATATATATATATATATATATATAATATATATAGATAGATAGATAGATAGATAGATAGATAGATAGATATATAGATAGATAGATAGATAGGATGGGGTCTACCTCCAGTGTAAATTGTGGGACCCATAGCCTCGGAGAAGTGGATAAAAGGGCTTCAAGGAAGAAAATTGGATTTCTTCCTGAAGCCATTTGAATATTCCACTTCCCCTACCGCTCTATACACACACACACACTATATGTATATATGTACAGTCGCAGGGGGAGTTGAATGATAGCCCTAGCCCTTTAGTGTTGCAATCCGTCAACATATCAGAATATTGCATTGTTTTAAAAATGAGTAGGAAGTCGAATCAGATTTGCTCAGGGGAACGTTTTTGCTGGAATGAGACACTTCAGGTATATCAGTGCTCGGTGCCAGAAAAACTGAATAATAAAGCATTAGAAGACAGCCAACCAACTAACACTTATAATGTAATAATGAACATGTGATCATAACGTTAGTGACATGACATTTATATAAAAAATAGGTTAGACTTCGATATAATATAAATACTCTCGGTTCTTGCTTTTGTGATTTGTCTTGACATCTGAGTTATTAGCTAAGGTATAGACTGAAGTGGATAGAGTATCATCTTCCTTATAGCTCAGTGTTTGTGAAAATTAATTTCCCTATATTGTCATACGGTTAATTAGTAAGAATGATGCCGCTATGCAAAAATATATAATTCATATAATATTTCATTTAGCTGATACACGTAATCTGTTCCACAAAAATATAGCATTCAACTCACAGCCCAATGAACCTGGATTCGATTTCTGAGCTTTAAGAGCCGAATAAGCATGTATTCTTGTACATTCTAATATAATAATTCTATACAATAGCGACACATATGCAACGAATAGGTATCTTTTTTCGGAATAAAGATACCATACTGTTGTACATGTCTTACTATCGTCCTCATACCTATTGCCGGTGTAGGTACCTAATTGTTAGACAATTCTTGTGATTGACATACTGAGGGATAGAAATGTCACACCTCTTAATCTATAAACTGAGCTGGGTAATGAATAAATGATAGATAGGAAAATAATCTTTAGAATATTCGGTGGCCCGTGGCCTGGTGGCAAAAGCTCTCGCTTCACACGGTGAAGGTCCGTGTTCGATTCTCGGCAGAGGTTGGAAACATTGGGCGTGTTTCCTTACACCGGTTGTCCATGTTCACCCATTAGTAATAATGGGTATCTAGGTGTTAGTCGACTGGTGTGGGTCGCATCCTGGGACAAAAGTGACCAAATTTGCCCGAAGTGCTCCTCATTTCTATATACTAATAGTATATCATAGATGTCAGCTACGCCTGTATAGCACCAGTTGAAGAAACTTACCTACTACGTGGAGGTGGATGGTATGAATAAGTGGAGGATGAGTAGATACTTGGCACTGATAGGTGCCTTCATCCCGGTGCTGCACGTAGCGGATACGGAGTCGCCAGTCGTGTGGGTGTTCGTAAGTCATGGTGAACCTGCATATGAAGAGCCTATTATTACACTTCTCGCTTCAGGGAGGGTGCTTTAAACAGGGTCAAAGACTACTTGATCCGTAGAATTAATCCTATCCATCCCCAGCCTTACATAAAACCTAATAACCTATTAGGTTACAAGGTTTCTGTGACTACATACGGGTCATAAAATAATATTATTAACATCAATAATCATAATAATTATGAAACTAATATATATATATATATATATATATATATATATATATATATATATATATATATATATATATATATATATATATATATATATATATATAATATATATAAATTGCGGGACTCACAGCCTCGGAGAAGTGGATAAAAAGGCTTCAAAGAAGAATATTTGGATTGCTTTCTAAAACCATTTGAATATTCCACTTCCCCTACCACCCCATCTTTTCATTCTTTTTTACCAATAGGTATATTTTATTACATAATATGGTACAAAAGGTTTAAGAGATACATTGTTGATATAAAGATGGCATATACAGTACATGAGATGTGAGAGATACACGTCTAGTACATTATTGTTACATGTTTGTCACTGATTATAATGCGAAAATCTCATCCAGCTCTTCATACTGGGGTGCGTGCCCAAAATACAGCAGGCATTGCCCCTCTGAATAGCAGCGCTGAGTCGCTGGAACAGAAAATTAGCTGCCCTGGGATCCCTAGTTACCCTGATGAGTCTTTTGCCTAGCTCCTTAAGGAACTTAGATGTACTCTTTCCCCATGAACCAAGGGTTTCTGAGCCTATGGGAACAAGCATATAATGATGGGCAAGTTCTCCATATTATCTAGACTTTTGGGATTCCCTGAAGCTGGCGGCTGCCCCTCCTTCCTCCCTGGCGTATTGGAGATATGTATCAGCCAAGGTAGATGCACATATGTAGTCCCACACCACCTGCTTACCGTCTGTCCTGGCTTGAAGTGTGATACTATCTGGACACCTCTGGCTGCCATCAGATCTGCATAGTTGGGATGGCTCCCTTACTGCTGGGTGTCCGGCTGTTGTGAGGCTCCTCTTGATAATGTTATTAATCTCCTGATGCCTTGCAGTCTTTCCCTCGGATTTACGGCACACAAGACCATGGTACCCGAATCGGTCTGCTGCTTCACTGCCACAAATACACCTGTGTTCGGTGAGAATAAGGGCGGCAAGTCGAAGGGCAAGTCGAGCCGTGTGCCAAGGCTGGAGTTTGGAACAGCCAACAGAAAGTCCCCTGCATGAGGAGCTTTCACTGCCAGGAGCCGGGCTCTATCCTTCCCTGACACACTCTAAAGCATTGTTGAGGCTATTTTCTCTACTATCGGTCTATCCCAGTGCGACTGTTTGTAGTTGTTGGGGGGAGCAGGTCTGGTTTCAGAGCCCGTTAGATTATCCCAGATCATGGCTCCGTCAATATATAATATATATATATATATATATATATATATATATATATATATATATATATATATATTATATATATATATATATATATATATATATAAATATATATATATATATATATATATATATATATATATATAATATATATATATATATATATATATATATATAATATATAAATATATATATAAATATATATATATATATTATATATATATTATATAATATATATATATATATATATATATATATATATATATATATATAGGGAAAAAAGGTGAGTGGTGCGTTGAGGTATATGTGGAGTCAAAAAACGTTATCTATGGAGGCAAAGAAGGGAATGTATGAAAGTATAGTAGTACCAACACTCTTATATGGGTGTGAAGCTTGGGTGGTAAATGCAGCAGCGAGGAGACGGTTGGAGGCAGTGGAGATGTCCTGTTTAAGGCAATGTGTGGTGTAAATATTATGCAGAAAATTCGGAGTGTGGAAATTAGGAAAAGGTGTGGAGTTAATAAAAGTATTAGTCAAGAGGGCAGAAGAGGGGTTGTTGAGGTGGTTTGGTCATTTAGAGAGAATGGATCAAAGTAGAATGACATGGAAAGCATATAAATCTATAGGGGAAGGAAGGCGGGGTAGGGGTCGTCCTCGAAAGAGTTGGAGAGAGGGGGTAAAGGAGGTTTTGGGCAAGGGGCTTGACTTACAGCAAGCGTGCGTGAGCGTGTTAGATAGGAGTGAATGGAGACGAATGATACTTGGGACCTGACGATCTGTTGGAGTGTGGGGCAGGGTAATATTTAGTGAAGGGATTCAGGGAAACCGGTTTTTTTCATATAGTCGGACTTGAGTCCTGGAAATGGGAAGTACAATGCCTGCACTTTAAAGGAGAGGTTTTGGGATATTGGCAGTTTGGAGGGATATGTTGTGTATCTTTATATGTGTATGCTTCTAGACGTTGTATTCTGAGCACCTCTGCAAAAACAGTGATAATGTACGAGTGTGGTGAAAGTGTTGAATGATGATGAAAGTATTTTCTTTTTGGGGATTTTCTTTCTTTTTTTTGGGGTCACCCTGCCTCGGTGGGAGACGGCCGACTTGTTGAAAAAAAAAAATATATATAAATATATATATATATATATATATATATATATATATATATATATTATATATAATATAATATATATATATATATATATATATATAATACATATATATATCTAGTTAGATAGATAGATAGATATAGACATATACTTATATGTACCTAGTCATATAAATATAAACTCAAAATAAACTTTAATCCCCAATTAAGGGTTTAAAGTATTCATGACTGACGATGAACAGGTTATAACACCCTTAATGACCCTTGTTATATTATATTTATGTGCGTAACAGATACGCTTTAACTAGGATAAACTAACCAATAATTATGATAGTAAATATTATGGTGACTGTATTGATAATAACCAATAATAATAATAATAATAATAATAATAATAAATAATAATAATAATAATAATAATAATAATAATAATAATAATAATAATAAAAATAATAATAATAATAATCAGAAGAAGAAGAAGAAGAAGAAGAAGAAGAAGAAGAAGAAGAAGAAGAAGAAGAAGAAGAAGAAGAAGAAGAAGAAGAAGAAGAAGAAGAATTAATAATAAAATAATTATATAGCAAGAAGAATAAGCAAAAGTAAATAAAAATGAAGAAGTAAACGAGGATAATGAGGAAGAAGTAGATGAAGATGAAGAAGAAGACGCTAAGTTAGACTTCTTAAACGTTGAAGCAGATTTAAATAGATGTTGAGTTTATCCGCCTGAAATATATCTGGTTCTTAGCTATTACGCAGGAAAATTAATGGAGAGACTTGATTTTAAATTTAATATGCACAGATAACCTAGCATATAACTGCTAGTATGTACACTTTATTTTTCATAATAGAGTTAAAACTTCTGTATTCTCATTCATACTGAAGTATTATGATCAAAAAAAAAAAATAAAAAAAAAACTTTATTAACCTTTTTTTTAATTTCTAAAAATACATTTTTCGAAAAAGAAAAAGAAACATGTTCAAGCAAGAATATGTTGGTTTTTTCTTACCATGAAAACCTTCTTGATATACCTTTTCTAGAGAAGAATTCTAAAATCAAAGTTTGCATTTAAAAATCATCCCAAAAAATAGCTTATAAAATTCCCTGCAAAAAAAAAAAACGTAGTTTTTCTAAA